GAAAATCCTTCTGACAGTCTGCAAATTTTAATTACTTGCTGCTACATTTGCTGTTGCATTTGTGTGATTGGGACAGTGTAGGGATACAGTCAGGATACTATGCATCCTGCTTCATAGAGTCACTCTTACTGAGCTAGCTGAGATGGTTTGCCTTTAAACCAGATGTGGTATTCAGCAGGTTCTGACCATTTCTGGAGAACCAGTAGCGGAAATTTTGAGTAGTTCAGACAACTGGCAAATACCACCTCTGACTGGCCTTGCCCCCCCATCTATTCTCTGCCTCCCCAGTCCCAGCTAAGCTGGTTCTTCTTTTGTTACCCTGCACAGGAGAACGGGGCTGGATAGCAGGTTAGCGGGGTGGGGAGGGAATGGGATTTTGCCGTAACCTTCCCCAGGAGTGGGGAGGGAATGGGGATTTTACAGTATCCTTCCCCTGCCATGCCCACCAAGCCACGCCCACAGAACTGGTAGTAAAAAAAATTTGAATCCACCACTGCTTTAAACTACCTCACACATATTGTCTTGGGGGATTTAAGTGACTCTTCTGATGTTGCCCAAGCAAGAGTGTCCCAGAACACCCACAGACCTGTCCCAGCCCCACACATACAGCATGATACAAGTTGTTTATGTTGTTCTGTTTGGTTGTACAGAAAATATCACAGTGGGGGGAGCTATCTGTAAATCCATTGTCCTGGAAAGATCATTTTCTGGTCAGGTTTGGAATGTCAGCTCTTATGTTCCTCTGCCAGGGAACATGCCAGTTAAAATGGTCCAACCAAGGTACTTGATCGATATGGATCTTAGAATGTGCTTGAGGAATTCCTCCTTATCTGTTGGTGATATTTTCAAAGTCCTAGCTGATTTGAGAATTGTGGAGATAGGTCAAGTAAATGATACTGCTGCTTTTTAAATGGTCGAAGGGAATTGAGAGAAACAAAGGACATGGCAGTGGGTAAGAACACAAGTGGACCACAATCTACATTCAACTCAGGCCAGATGTGTCATGCACCCCCAGTTTAGCGAACAGGGGAAAAGTCGCAATACGTCACGTGATGACAATGTGACACCGCGAGTTTGCCACCCCTGGTTTAATATCTTTTCCATTAAGGCTCTGCAGATGGAAGTAGGGACTAATGGAGACCTATTATGATCAGTTTTATTTGCTCTTTTCAAACAAAGTTTATCAGATTTTCCTCAATTGGGAATCCTATAACCTTAATTGAAACAGAGTACAAGAAGGTAACTTCTGTAACTTCTTGTTTGGGATGTGCCTAAAGGATCTTTCAATCATGTAAATTCTCATCTAAAATCCAAGAATTATATTTTGAGGTCCAGGTTTAATATTTTTTTTCCTTTGCTGGTAGAACGCAAAAGAGTACAATATAACGTTGGAACTTGATTCCACAAATACATGTTTAGATTTAAGGTATTTCCCTGTCTAGGATTAGAGTTTGTTTCTTTCTCTTTCCCTGTCTCTCTCTCTCTCTCTCTTTTTAGTGCAGCTGCTAATGGATTGTGAAGATTAAAGGGTTCTGTAATTTGTGATATAGGAGCTTTGTTCATGAAGAACTTCTATTCATTTCTCTTTCCCCTTTTAACCTATTGTTCTGTAAGGATACACAACACAGAAAATAAATTGCTGTTTCCTGACAGGTCATTAGATGGTCTACCTCCCAAGTGCATAGATTTTTTTAAAAACTTGTCTTTGATCAATATTTAACCTCTCCTTTTTCTATTGTGAAGGGATGCACAACTTCCATAGTTCAACTTAAAGCTTTCTGAAGAAATGGCCATATTTTTAAAAGAATTTAAAGCATCTGAGCTAGAATTCAATATAATTAGATTCTACAGAATCATTTAGTTTTTCATCAGAGATTTAGTGTAATACAAGTGGGTTTTGGGGAGAGAGTGGGGGGGAGGAAATACATATGCACTGCAATATATGCACTGCTCGTGTTAGTAGTATGTCTCCAATTACTCTCGTTCTTGTTCAAAAGTAGCAGCACTGTGCTTGGAGAAATATCTCCAAATTATTTTCTTTTATTGATGGGGCTTTTTATCCATTTCTATATTAACTCTTCACTTCATGGAAGAGTTTTCTTTTTCATTTCACATATTTATTATGCTCAGTGAGGAGTTGGGCCATTCAAAATTCTTGAAGCACCCCCTCATGCAAGTGCCGCTATTCTGAGGTGATTTCTGTCGCTCTGGTAGCAAAGATTTTTAAAAATAAAAATTTAAAAAAATACCTATTCTTTCTTGAAGATTAGCATACTATATATATAATATATAGATTAGCATACTATATATATATAATGCCATCTGCACTGTCAGATGGTCACTAAGCAGGCCAGATTAATTAGTTTTTCCACCTGAGAACAGTTCTCTGGGAGCAGACAACTAAGAAATTTCTCAGTTTCTCTTTGTCGGTCTTGGTTTCCCCATTTATAAGATCATTGTTTTTCCTCTTGAGAACACAAAAGTCACCCTATGTCCTTAGTGAGTCTGCATTTCTAATATTATGTTTTCACTTTGTCATTATGGGATACTGAGTGTAGATTAGGGAGAGAAAAAAATGAATTTCAACAACTGTAGAATCAGGCTGCCACATAACAAAATAGGCAAAAGTGAAGAAGGTCTGAATACTTCCTGAATGTGCTGTAGATCAGGCAGTTAGGCAACCAGCTGAGAGTTCAAGGCAAAATGGTATAAGCTTGAAAATAATACACGTTGTTTCCAATAATGAACTACTCTCAAGCAGAACATTTTAAATTAAAAGCTGTAATTTCCCACTCTTCCTCAGTTGATATTCAACAAATTTTGTCCGGTTACAAGATTTCCCATGCCTGTTAAACCTAATTTGACTGCAAAGCTACCCAGTGTCGAAGTGTGGTCTTCAGATATGGAAGATGATTAGGAAGACACATTTCAGTAATCTCTTTTGTGTTGCCAGCCGCACCAGTGATGCTAAGCCAGCAACTAGCTGTACCACTCCTGCTCTGGGCACTTCCAGACCGTGAGCCTCCTCCACCCAATTCTTGAGAACTTTGCATCTGAAAATAGAACATAAACAGACAGGCATAAGAACATTTGGCTATACCAAGAAATAGTGGGAAATGACAGGACTAGTTAGGATTTACATCTGAAGGAGGAACACCAAGATTACTCAGAAGAGTGTAAAAGTCTCCTGGTATTTCAGAAGCATTCTGAGAAGTTGTTGGTCCATTAAGGCCTCTGTGATTGTCCAATATATTTGTAGAACCTTTCAGCAACTTGACTCAGGTTGTTTCTGGTTCTCTCTCTTACTCACTGCTTTAGATGCTGTCCTCCCAGTAAGGTTGTTTCTGTTTGAATGAAACTTGGATTGAATTCACAGTTTAAAAATAAACCTTATATAATTTTAATATGACTGTAGCCCAGATAAAAGCTGCTTGTGAGGCTAGGACATCCAGGCATCTTCGGCTGCCTTATTTTTAAGTTGTTCTCCTTTACAAATGAGTGCTTCAGTGCCTCTCTACATTCCCATATTTAACTCATCAAAATGGTGAATAGCTACCACACTACCATGGCAGCAAAGATCAGATTCCTGGACAGAAAGTTCTTGTGGAGAGTAATTCTGGTTCTGGTGCTGACCCAGATGGAGAAAGCTTGATGGCATTGCCTAATCCTCATTTAAAGAATTGCCCTCAGACAAGGTCACAAGCATTTGCTGTCTCGGGAAACTGCCTTTTTAATTTTGGTGGCCAGTTGAGCTGGCTAGCATATTATTCAATGTCATGCATGAAGGCAAGCTAATTTTGCCTCCTGATATCTCATTTCTACCACAGACTGTCTCTCTTTCGTCTGAGCCAGGACATTCCACCCACATACAGACTCACATCCTATAGCTTGAAGCAATATTTGCGCACTCTTGATGCCTTTAGAGCAGTGGCCTTTTGCTGAATAATTACCAGTTGCGGGAGAGATCAGTTCCTGTTTTGGGGACAAGAGTTATCATTGTAGCAGTTCTTTAAAGAGTTGTAACCACCATAAGGATTTGCTGTGATCTAGAAAATTAGCGGTGTCCAAGTTACATTAAGGGAGATGTTTAGACACAGCTGTGACAACCCTCTGAATTTCCTTCAGTGCAGTCTTTGCCAAAATTGTTAAGCATGTACTTGGACACAATATCCAAGCACTATGGATATCCAGAAAGATGTGGCTGTTGGGAGAAGGATCTTTTTCCCCCCCATACTTTATGGTCATAAGTAACCAGTTCTTCTACAAAATTTTACTTTGCTTGGAGTGTTGACAAAGTGCAGATTTCTTCAATGAATAGCTTTCCTAATTAGCATCCCTTCTGAAATATATTTAGAGGTTCCATATAAATGAATCATGGACTCCTTTTTTTCCTTTAAAAAAAATTGATAACTAAGTAGGATTTTCTTTTTATTAAATCACTAGTGGTTTTCAAGTAAATTATTAATGTAGTCATTCTCAGTGTCTATCATAATGAGGGAAATTATAGCCTTTTTGCATATTAAAGAAATTTCTAGCTTGGAATCTTGAATATAAATTAATTGTATAATGTTTTATGTATGCATGCATGTAGATTGCAGGGGTGATCTGTTTGTATTCGTTGGAATTACGATCTGGACAGCTGCTGTTTGGTCAAAATCTATAAACTATGAATTTCCAACCTTCATGGAATTGCAAACAATTGCAAGTTTGCATTTCAGGGACCAGAATCTGTACGTTCAAATGGGAATAAAAAACAAGTAAATTATTTTCAGTTATAAGACAAATCCCACATATGTGGTTTATAATCAAACAGAGTGGTAGAATTTATTAGACTTGGTTACTTCTAGAAATGAGTTAGCAGAAGGAACTGTTAGTTATTTCTAAAACTGGAGAATCAAGTATTATTTAAGTTACCTGTATTAAATTCTCTTACACTACTTGCTATTTTCAAATGTATGTGGATTGCACAAGTGTTTGAATATTTGATTTCCTATTTGTAGGCAAATTAAAGATCAGAATAAGAAGGTAGCAAATTTAAAACATAAGGAACAGGTGGAGAAGAAAAAGAGTGCACAAATGTTGGAAGAAGCAAGGAGACGGGAAGACAATCTTAATGACAGTTCCCAGCAGTTACAGGTATCATCATATCATATATATGTAATGCATGATCATCTGAATTAAACTGTTTTGTTTTGCTTGTTTTCTTTAAAACTTACTTTTAGTATTAAGGATTGTTTTATACTTAAATGTGTAACTTTGCCCTCATAATATTCTAAGCTTCTCTCTCTCTCTCTCTCTCTCTCTCTCTCTCTCTCTCTCTCTCTCTCACACACACACACACACACACACACACACACACACACACACACTGCACTGTACAGTAATCAGTTTTTAGTTCAGTCAATAACCGGCATAAAACGAACACATTCAAACAAAAGAGTTAAAAAATACAAAGCAGAAAATATCATTTCAAGTGACTTCTTTGGTAAAAGAGTAAAATATTGTAACAAAAAGTAATTTAAGTAAAACTGTGAGTGTAAAATAGAAGTAGAAATAGTAGTAACACTAAAATACTAAATCTAAAACTGCTACTTCTGATCAAAAGAGAAGCATAAATTTCCTTGGCATAATGAAGTATTTTTTAATGTATGTCTTCTGAAACAGCCGACAATAAAACATTGAACTGAGCTAATGTTAGAGCCCTTCTCAGTTTGGAAAAGGAGATAACATTTAAGTATTTGGCAAAACAAAAGAAATTGCCTGCTGAGATATTGAGAGATACACAAACTTATTTGTGTATTTTCAGCTTACAGAAGTATCTTTCTTAACATCCTGACACTGCTTCATTTTACACTTATTCGATGTGTTTTTCCTCCCATATGCCATTCCTCCCATATGCCATCACAGAATATATACAGGTGCTATATATTGTGGTAAGCATATACAAAGATGAATTTATATATAATAGATGTTGTGTTCCTATGAAATCTAAGTGTGTATCTAACGGTTCCATGACAAAAATGTAGATCTGATTGCTACTCCAGCAAGTAATAGTCTGGAGTAACTCAAAATAGGTTGTCCTATATCTAGGCTTACATCTGACTGGCTCACGCCAAATTCAGTAAGATTTTAGGCAAAAAATCCAAACTTTCACCAGAAATCTAATTTAAGAGATTAATGTATAACCTAGGCATATGACTGATTCTTAAGTGATGATATATTTATTGGTAACTAATTGTTTTGTGACAGCAACAGTTGTCACTTTCATTTAATTAATTTTTCCAAAGGATTTGTTGAATAGTAGTGTAGGTGTTTTTCTATGTATATTTCTGAATGTATAATATACAGAATTTATTTGAACATCAAATTAAATGTTCATCTGATTATATTATAATATTAAGGGCCACCAATTTTATGCAAGACAAAATTATCAATGTTCTATATATTTCCCCTTTTTTGAAAGGGGAAATTAACTGGATTCATTTTATGTACAAAAATAATTGTTCCTTACCACCAGTGCAGAGTACATGGAAATCTGTTACATAACTCTGCTTTTTTATTGCTCGTGTTTCTACATATTGTAATTATTCAGATGTATTGTACTTGGACAAACAATTCTTTGCAGAACTGAAAATAACAACTAAAGATTCTGAATGTGATAGTCTGGATTCTGATATAAGGTAGACAATCTAATGAGTATTTTTCCTGACTATGTAGTCAGAACAAAGAGCACACTGTAATTTTCTAGGACTGTCTTTTACAGATTGATTAAGTATAATTCTAAGGCTTTTAGCAGCGTTATACGAATGTAGTCAACAAAGCTGCAGAAGGCATAAAAGAACTACTATTCTTGACGCCATATTAGTTACTCTATGAAGGTCATTCAGTTACCATCTTTGTTGATAGAGTATTCTGATATGAACACTTTTTATCTGTTAGATCCATGTTGCATTCTGCTCTTTTCTTTCCTAATACACATCCATTAGTAGTAACAAGGAAATGAACAAATCTTTCTACTTTGGTTTCACTTTTTCACTGTATTCTACTTTCTTACTTGTTTCCCATTTAAAAAAACAAAAACAAATAATTATATATAGGAATGCATTTCTTCTAATGTTTGGCTTTTTTATATTGAATTTTGTGTTAATGTGTATATTTTTGCCAGCTAGTTTCTCAAAGGTAATAACATTTTTATTATTTGCTGTTAATAGAATTTAGAAACTAGTACAATGCTTTAATTTGCAAAAATGATCAGGAATTCAGATTTGACCTCCCATCATTTTCCATTTCCTTTTAATTAAAATCAAGGCTTGATGCTCCACTCTTTTCCATGCAGTGTTTTCCTATCTTAATACTGTTTTGTGCATGTATATTTCACACAACTAACAATATCACTCTTATAGACATACTGTAGGCATCTTTCATTCAGCAAAGCCTAGCAGGCCCTGATATAAATACCATTCATGGTAATTACAATGCTATGTAGGATTCTACAGTTATGGAATTGTCCTGTCATATAATTGGCAGAATCCAAAGCACTTGGTAGATGATCATTTTATCATAACAGCAAATCAAGTCTTTATTACAATCATAGACCAGCCTAAGGAAAGTATAACAGCTAGGAAAGGCAACTGTTTCTTGTTTACAATTTCAGAAACAGAAAATGATCCAACATTTGCTATAATGCATTTCAAGTTTTCAAATTTGATTAATCATCTCTAGTTGGCTATATTTTCAGGCATTAAATGAATATTTAATGTAGCATGTTGATCTGTAAACATGTGTTTTATTGTGACAAGATTATGTTCCTAATCATATAGTACAGGATTTTTCAAATGCAACTTATCTTATTCCTTTGTCTTCAGTTTTTCACCTGATTTTTTCAACTGGATCAATTATCTTTATATGAAAGGAGGTTGAGAGATCTCAGTTGTTTTTTTAAGACAGTTTTTCTTAAGTCATTTACTACATCTCACTACATCTTCTTCTGGTTTCTTTCTTTTGAACTGTCAGGTTGAGGGTACCTGTGAAGAAAGGGTAATGCTTGCTGTACGTCTACATCTTCTGCCTACTAATTTGAATTGCATGTGAAGATGTGCTTTTGCACACACAAAAATACCCAAAAGTCTCTAGCTATCTTAACACTAATTGCACTGCTATTGCTCACCTCAGTTTGCTAACTTTTGTCTTGGCTATGGATTTACTCCAGCTCTTCCTTCACCTTACATCTGTGATTTTCTTCTGTATGAAAACTGAATTTTGTGGAATTCCATTGCTGGAAACTCCCTTGTGGGTGACCTAGCACTTGACCTATTTGCTCTAGAAGCTACTTCATTTGGTGTCCTGTCATTTTCCAGGATAGTTTGCATAAGAAGGATGATCGAATTGAGGAGCTAGAAGAAGCACTGAGAGAGAGTGTACAAATAACTGCAGAACGGGAAATGGTATTAGCTCAAGAAGAATCAGCCAGGACACAAGCTGAAAAACAGGTTTGCATGCTTATGGTCAACTGGTATTGATATTTCAGGTTAACATGGGTAACACAAGTAAAGGAAATATATTAAATAATGTGACATATACTTAATTTTTTTCCCCATATATAAATTTTAGGCCTGATAATAAGCCTTCTCAGTAATGCTATCACATCTCACTACGTAAGTAGCAGACAGAATCAACCTTGTTCTAAGAATTTGTTAATAGATCGTTCTTGAGGACTGTTGGACAGCAACTTTTATAAATGGCTAACAGCATGGTCTTTCTTTAGAGATGTTATTGTCCAAAATATTTAAAAGCTGCCAGATTGACCATTCCAATGTATAAGACTGTAAGGTAGAAAGAATGAACCAAATAAATAAAGTGAAAAATATGACAGGCACAGCTAGTATGACAAATGAAGAAGGGAGAGGGGGGAGAATGGAAGGAAGACGCAGAGAGTCAGGCAATTGTTTCAAAAAGATGGGATCCGAACCTTTTCTCTTTGCTGCAGTAAAGACTGAAACCACAGTAGACCCAAGAACACAGTAGATGTTAAGAATGGTTATGAGGTCAGATCCCTTTCATAAATACGTTGTTTGATCCCCCCCCCCCCCAAACTATAGCTATCAGCTATCAAAATAAATCTCACAAAGAACATTTTTCCACATATAAATAGAATATTGTATTCAAAGAACAAATGAGTTTTTTTGCTTTAATCTTGACTCCCCCACTCCACCCCTCACCCCCGAAATGAAACTGTAATCCAAAAAGGATGAGGTCAGCAACTTCCCTAGCTAGCAGCTGTGTCTTGGGCCAGCTGCAGTTTTCAGGTCATCTTTGAAAGTAGCCCCATTTAGATATCCCTTTGTGTAGCTGAAGGTTTTGCTTGCTGTGACTTTAACCTGCTGCTCTAGCAGGAGTCATAGGTCCAAGAAATATCCTAGATCACCCACTGGCTCTTTCTGGGGAAGTTCAGTCCCATCAAGAACTATTGATGGAATTTCCACGGAACTAAAGAATTTCCGTACTAATGAGAGCCATCTTGCTTGAATTCAAATACAATCTGTTTTATTTCACCTAATCCCTCACAGTTTCCAAGCACTGGTCAGGACTTCCTGCTCATTGCTTCTTTGGCCTGGAGACATGATGTAAAGCTAGGAATCATTGGAATATTGGTGTTATCGAAGCATACTAACGTTAACGAAGCCAAACCAACAGTTGACCTCTCCCAGTAATTTCATGTAGTTGTTAAATAAGATAGAAGAGAATGAATACCCATGAAGGAATTGGTTTGATATTTCCTTCCCCAATAATCCTAAGCAGATATCTTCATTCCAAAAGGAATGAAACCTCTACAAAGCAATATTTCCAGTTCCCAGCCTGTATAGACAATTCAGAACAATACCATGGGCATTTGTATTGAATGTGTAAGATGAAATAGACATGAAGTGGTATATCATAATGTTCTTAGAGATGACCACTGTAAAATAGTCAGGTCTGTGTATGTTTTTGTGTGTACTCAGGCACATATCTGTGCATGTACATTATACACACGAATGCAACTAGATCTTTTCCTGCCAAAGTGGTACCCATTTATCTACTCACAATATTTTGTGTGTGTGTGTGGCAAAAACTAATCCCATCCTGTCTCAGTGCTCAACCCTACAGAACCCTTTGTCCCACAAAATCCTCAGCTGTCCAGAGCACATGTGAATGATCTCCCCCATCGTCTTCAGATGGGGAAGTTCCAAGGAACTGGTCTTCTCACTGGTTCCTTGATCTCTGCTTCAGTCATTGGCCCTGCTTTCATGGTACCGTCTTCAGTTTGCCATACCTTTCCTAGAAGCCCCTGAAAAACATTTTCTTTAAACATGATTATTTGTCATCAGTACCTTATTTGTTTTCTTGTTTTACATGAGAATTTTTGCCATAGAGGACTAGAAAAGAGACACAAAATAACATTTCTGAATGTTGATGTGTGTTCAATTTTAGGAGTCTTTCCTATACATATAGCCCTAAGACGTGAGACCCCATCTTCTTTGCATTTTTGGAAAAATGGAGACCTTGTCCGCAAAAGACTCTAGCAAATTTACAACTCTTCAGCTTTCCCTTCTCCATGCTATGCTTCTTTAAAAAGCTCTTGACAGCACATTCATATTGATATGGCTGAAAATACATCAGGAATAACATAAACAAACAACTGCAACATTTTTCATGACTTTTGCATCAAAGACTAGTTTTTATATTTAAGATTCTTCTAACAACTTTATTTTGAATAAGCCATAATGTAAAATTAGCTGTTTAAAAAAGTCTTCAAATCTATCTTCACTATTTCATTCTTCAGTGTTTAAATCCTGTTGACCTTTTCATCACAGTTCTATCTAAATTTTGTTCATAGATATTTTTTTTAAATTATCTTCTGATATAACTCTGTCCTGAAGTTTATCTAACCAAAGTACTCCCATAGATTAATCTATTACATATGTTTCCTCTGTATAGCACTGAGTAAACTCAAACGGTGTTATCAAATTATCATTCATATGTAAATTAATCATCTGATGCAAAAGAGGAGTCTAGTGGCTCAGACATGGGTGAATTCTCTTGAGAAAAATTCAGTAAAGAACAGGAAGTGAACAGAGACGTCTAGAGCATTCTTCATATATATTCCAACAAATTAGGCAGGCAGTGGGACTGGAATTAGGTTTGGGGATGTGTTCTGCTGCTTTTGGGGGGGTGTTCTTGGTGTTTTAGGCTGTTGTTTTTTTTTGCTGACATTATTATATTGATTTGGTTCTCTAAATCAAGTTTTACTTTGAAGGACTAGTGCAAATTAAGAGTAGAAAATCTTTTGAAGCTGTACAACAGCCTTTCAGCTTACCAACAAACCCATAAATCCAGATATCACCTTCATATCAAGTTTCTGACTTTGCATAGAGGAATTACTTTTATTTAAGTAAAAGTTTCAATGTTACGAGTTAAATCAAGCAGCTGCTTTAGTTAGACAGTTTCATTTAAGTAGAGGCCCAGACGCAGGGAGAGATGGAAACCTCCTTATTGGTTGTAGTATTTGGTACCAGTTTATTGCCTTTTTCATTTTTTTTAATTCCTTCTTTTTTTTTTCCATTGCCTAACAAGCTGCACCAGCTATTTCTTCTCTTTGGGTCTGGAAAGGTAGATAGATCTGAAGAATGGTTTCTTTTTTTTTCAGTGAGCAAAAGTTTTAAGGTATTTTTTTTCCATAATTCATACCATAGCTTTGCCACCATATTATGCTATTTGGAAGATCACATTGAGTGCATACGTTCTGCACATGGAGAATCGAATTCTCTCTTGGTGAGCCCTTTGAGATAGTTCAGAAAAGAAACCAAAACCATGAGTACTACTAATTCTACCTTTCTTGTAAGATTACTTGGAAGTCTGAAAGCACTTTTTTCCTTTCCTGTCTTTCCTTTCCAGAGAACTAGGGAAGGTCTCTTCTGAGATGCTTTCTTCACCACCATTCCTTCTGCAAGCTGAGATATCTCTTGTCAGACTTGGCTGCGGCTTTTCTTCCTGTCTCCCAAGGCTATTATAGCATGTCTCTTCTTAAATAAAACTGTAAGAAATTAGGAAATGTATCTGTTGAGGTTGCAATAAATATCACATTTACTCTGTAGACCCTGAAGATTAGTTTCAGTAGCCAAGTCAAACAATCTGTTTCCAAACAATGAAATGTACATTGAAAATGAGCATCATCTTCCACTCTCAAAAATGTTTTCATAATAAAAAGCTTTCTTCAACTTTTCCAGATATTTATACATCAGAATAGCATATTTTTTTCATATGAGTCCTTAGTCTATCTAAAAAAATTGTTGGCTATTTATGGATTTGCGTTGTTAGTTCTGTCCATATGACTTCTACTGCATATCTGGAAGCAGGTAATGATTGACCTTAAAACACATAACTGATATTACAACTTAAAACATGTAACATTTTTTACATATTTTATGTAGATCCAAAGGAATACAATTTGATAATACAGTATTTCAGAATATTCTCAATTTCTGTGTCTTTAGTAGTCCATTTTTACTAAAAAGAGTTTTAACACTTGGATCTTAAATCAAGAAGCATGGATTTTTGAATATATCCAGATACACTAATTATTCTGAAGGAATTATATTAGATGTTTCATAAATTTAATCATATGGAAGAGAGTGTTTGGGAATTTCTTTGTCAGTTATGCTAAAAGAATCTCATTTCTACATTGCTACCATGAGGTGTTGGTAACTTGGTGCCCTATAGATTCATGTATTTGTTGGATGCCCCAATATCTGTGGTTTTCCTTTTTAAACCAATGCATAAACATCTTTTACTTCCACTGTTAACAAATGCTTTATCGTCTGAGAGATAATATTTCAATATGCTCTGTTTCTGAGTGTTGAATAATTGCCATAATCTGAAACTGAGGTTTGTCTACTCTATGTTAAAGTTTGGGAGCTGGCCAGAAGACAAAACAGATACTTAGCATTGGGTTTTGAGGTTTGCAAATCTTAGTTGCTCATAGAACTGTTAGCAATTTTATGGGGAAAATATGTTCACCAACCATTTTAAAGAAGAGAGATTTGACTTGGATGAATTATATTTTCAGTTGTATTATAGTTATAATTATAGTTCCATTCTCAACGGCTCAAGGTTGACTCAGCCTTCCATCCTTCCGAGTTGGGTAAAATGAGAATCCAGATTGTTGGGGGCAATAGCTGACTCTATAAACTGCTTAGAGAGTGCTGTAAAGTACTGTGAAGTGGTATATAAGTCTATTGCTGTATTTTGAGGGGGGGTTATACTGAATAGAGTCATAGAGCTAGAAAGGATTGAATGAATTATTCAGCTGAATTCTCTATCCTGACTTGGGATATTTTGCAACAGAACTAAGTAAATATTGGATACTGTTAAACTAAAGATACCATTAAACAGACAAGCCAATTTGGCATGGGGGTTAAGACATCAGATTAGAAACTTATCACAAAGCCAGCTGGGCAACCTTGCACTGGTCACTTTCTCTCAAATCTACCGTGTTTCTCATAAAATAAGGCTGGGCCTTATTTTTTTTGAGCCCCGAAAAAACGGCTAGGCTGTCTTTTCGGTGGTGACTTAATTTCCCCCCCATGCGCACCTCCACCTAGAGTGTCCCGCGGACAGCCATGCCTCGCCACAAGGCTGCTTCTATCAGCCAATAGAAGCACCCCAAGGGCAGAGTCACCTGCCGCTTCTATTGGCCGATATAAGTGGCTTCGTGGCAAGGCAAGGCTGCCCGCAGGGTGCTTCTATCGGCTGATAGAGGTGAGTCTGCCTGCGGGGTGCTCTAGCTGAGGCTACCTGTGGGGCGCTCCTAAAGGCAAGTTCCCCCCCTGCCCTTCCCCCCATTTCTCTTCACCTCGTGTAGTTCAAGCGATGTGAGAAATGGTGGGGAACACATGCTTTAAATAGGCCCAAATTTTGGGGACGGGGCTTAATTTCACCTCATGAATATAAAACAGTGCTGGGCCTTCCTATTGAGGGGGGCGTATTGTTGGAGAAACACGGTAGGAAGGAGATAATGGCAAACCACTTCTGAAAAATCTTGCCAAGAAAACTGCAGGAACTTGTCCAGGCAATCTCCATAACAGGATATCATTAAACAGAAGAAGAAAAAATTAAATTTGTTGCTATGGGAGCAAATCTTTTGAAGGTAGAACTCATACTTTCTTTCCCTTTTCTTTGATATTGCCCCTCAAATCTATTTAAAAAGAAATCCCTATAGAGCAGATTTGGAGGACTTCAGGAAGCCAGAGGGGGCAGGATTTAAATCAGCCACATTACGATTATATGTTCTATGGTTTGACCATTTTACTGATGGTGTAAGCCACTCATAGTTGTATTTTAAAATGGGTGGCATACAAATCTTGTAAACAATGAATAAATAAATACATTCTTTAGTAGCATGCATTCTTCGGTGGCGCAGTGGTTAGAGTGCAGTACTGCAGGTTACTCCTCCTACAATTTGGCAGATTGAATCCCACCAGGCTCAAGGTTGACTCAGCCTTTCATCCTTCCGAGGTGGGTAAAATGAGGACCCAAATTGTTGGAGGCAATATGCTGACTCTGTAAACCGCTTAGACAGGGCTGTAAAGCACTATGAAGAGGTATATAAATCTTAAGTGCTATTGCTATTCCACTAGTGACATGATATTGTTGCAGCTAGCAACATAACTTGGCAATACAATTATAAATTTTTGGCCTGCAGATAAAATTTAATTCAACTTTTCTATCGACTTGTGATAATCTTGTGAGGTTTTTTCCATGAATGATCCTCCTTTTATTTATTTGCCAGGAAAGTAAGGGTGTAGACAAACAAGACTGCTTGAGTGTGCTGCAATAATGGTTCCTCCTTCATCCCATCTTTGCCTTTCCCAATCTTTCCCAGTATTTCACCAGAAACTGTTGTTTCATTGCTGTCTGCAATGTTACATTAACGAGGAAGACTTCAGGGGTATCTGTGGTTCTATGCTACTGAAATCATCCGGCTCAAGGGAGAGGCTTGACAAATAAATTTGTCTCTGAGTAAAACATCTTCCACGTCTACCTTTCTTTTACTGGTTTTAGATTTAGATTTTGTCCTGTTTCTGATTTCTTCAGCCTAACTTTTCCTGGTATTTTTCTCCTTTAGCAATCTGCTCTTCCTTGCAATTTGTTTTGAACTGTATCAGATATTCTGTCTTGATGGTCCAGCGAGGTCCAAGATGGTTCAAGAACTGATAGATAAATAAGGTGGCTCCGTCCACTGCCTTTAATCAAACCATAGAGATAAGCAAAATGGAATAGAGTTCCAGCATAAATATAAAACTTTTCAGTTAGTTACAGAACAACCTTCACTTCATATTTTTGCTTTGAGCGAAAAAGAGCTATTCAGATCTTCTCAATATGCATAGGAGAGTTACTTTAATGTATTTGAGAATGAGTTAGTACAGTTTTGTTGATGCTGAAACTAAGAATATTGGCTTTGTAATTAAAATTTTGTAATGTAACTTTTCTCTACATTTTAATGAAGATAGGGCATAAAAGATTTATTATCAGTGATTATAAATTAAAACCCAATAGTGAATAGACATACGTGTAATAAAGAAGTGCTGCCTGTAATTTATAATAGTATCAATATATGTTATTTTAGACTAACCATGTTATTTCAACAGGGATAAATTGACCATTTGCAATATTTTTGTTCCATCATGCTATAACTCTGGTGAATGGCAGATATTGTTTCATAATCACATATTTTCTCTCTTCTTCCTCTTTATCATTCTTCAATTCCTTAGGTAGAAGAGTTGATGATGGCTATGGAGAAAGTAAAACAAGAACTGGAATCTATGAAAGCAAAGCTGTCCTCTACTCAGCAGTCTCTGGCTGAGAAGGAAACCCATTTAACTAACTTGCGGGCTGAACGGAGGAAGCATTTGGAGGAGGTGCTAGAGATGAAGTATGCCTTTGTTTCTCTTAATATTTCATTCTGACTTTTCCTTTAAGGATGATTGGTTAATGTTGTTGATAAAAAAATTACTTAAATATCTCTTGATTTCAATTGTAATGACAACTTTTTATAAGTGGAGTTATGTATAAAAATAGAAGATATCCTGACAGAAGTATATATAATTTTTTCCTCCTGGCACCACATGCATTCTTATACGTAAGACAGCATTATTTGAATTAGTCCTTATCTGAAATTTGAAATTACAATAGGGTGTGTGTGTGTGTGTGTTTGTGTGTATGTGTAGTTTATATATATAGTTTTTATGGAAAAATGATAATAGTAAAACAAAAAAGAATGGAAAGAATAAAAAGGAAAAGAAAAAGAAAAGGGAATACAATGAAAGAGAAAATAAATATATAAAGAAGTGACTTCCAATTTTCATCATAAGTATAAACAAATGTAGCAATCTTCACTGCCTCTAAGGTTGCAAATATTTATTTCTTCATCCCAATATGCCAACTGTCATCTATAAACAAATCCATAAATCATCTTCTTTTTAGTCTTCTGGGTTAGCAGAAGTTCCATTAAGGTTTTCCAGAAGTAAGATATCTTGTTTTAACTTTAACCAAATAAACCAACTTTATATCCCTTCCTTTAACACCTAATAGTCTTAATCTTTGGTTCATTCAAATATCATTGTCCAATTTCCTATTTATCAATGGCATCTCTCTTGCCTGGATTAAATTTCTGCATGTTCACTCTCATACAGACTATTTTTAAACATAATGAATTAGTCAGGGATGCTGTTCACACCCTTGGAATTAGCTGGTAAGAAACAATAGAGTTGGGTATCATAGTACGGAGATTTGTATACCACTCTACAATGCTTTACTGCACTCTCTCAGTGATTTACAACATCAGCATATTGCCCCTAACAGCCCTCATTTTAACAATCTGGGAAGTATAGAAGGCTGACTCAACCATAAGGTGGTCAGGATACTGATAATACCCATTCGAAATCTTAAATCAAACTCCATTAGTTTTACATAGATATTAAATAATATGGGGAGAAGATAGAATGGAATACAAATGGGATTTCTTTAAAAATCACAATGTCACAATAATCTAAATGTATTTTTTTAACTTCATACCATACCTTAACATAGTTATTTTGAAACAATATACAATTCAAATTAGTCAAATAACACCCAAATATTTAACTTCTTTTTATTTTAAAACTATTTTTGTTTTCATCAGATTGTGTTGATCTTGTATAGTCATTTTTACCAACATCTTTGCTTTACGTTTTTTAATCTTAAAACTTGTTTGTGCGCAAAATCTTTCAATTTTTTTTTCATCTAAGACTCAATCTGTATCAGAGGGTCTTGTAAAATCAAATCCAAATCATCAACAAAGGCTCTAAATTTCAATGTCTAATTTTTAATTTTTAGATCCATTTATCCAGATAACCTTATCCTGTCCCCTTCTGGATATCACAGGGTTTAGTCAAATCACCATTAAACACCATTTGAGATAGATAGGATAGATAGATAGGATAGGATAGGATAGGATAGAATAGAATAGAATAGAATAGAATAGAATAGAATAGAATAGAATAGAATAGAATAGAATAGATAATTACATGATTCCTTGAATAAAATTCTTATCAAAGTCCATATTTTTCAGTGCTTCAAAGAGAAATTGCCAATTCAAATTGTCCATAATTTTCTCAGCATCTGAGATTAGTGCAGCTTGTTTTAATATTCCGCGTGCTTTATACTCTCCATTTAATACGCTGTTTGTTCCATGTGGTCAACAAAAAACAAATTCTAAAATATGTAACTAGCAGTTATGTTATAGAGATACTTTTTTTAACATGAATGTATTTCATTATGTTTTAAATTCCAAGATCCCTGAGAATAATCCTTTAGAAAAAATGTGCTATGCTATCTAAATGAGCCATGACAGTCTTGGAAGGAAGACCAACTGCTGAAAACAGTACCAGGTGGTGATTTAAGGGACTTGTTCCAGTCAACAATTGCTCAAGACGTTAATGATGTTGGAAAAGGAGATTCTTTCTGCTGTTCATTTCTTAAGATTTTGCTACTACTGTACTCTTGTTTCCATTCTGTTTTTAGAGTAAACTCTTCTTACTACTGCCACTCTTCCTGAGTTTGTTTACAGAGGGGGTGCTATGAATAGTAGATGGTGCTGTAAAAAATTGGTTCTCATTCTAAGGCAACCCCAGAAAAAGCTAGCACATCAATCCCAGTTGCAGGTTGTGGAGAATAAAACCTGTCTTATATTGTTTTAATTGAGTTAAAAGCTAAATATTTATAGTGAAATGGAGGACCTCACTCAGGAAGCTTTTTAATCAGAACAGATGTCTGAATTCCAGTCAGTTATATACAACTTTGGAGTCATTTTTCCTCTTGTATTATTAGATTATAAAATGCTTATAGCAATGTAGTTTGGGGGCGTGGGGGGAATCTCATGTGCTTTTGGAATTGCTACATTTGGTGCTGTTGTTGGAAGTCTCAGAGGTACGTGATGGATGAACAGAAGTTTTCTTTGTGGTAATTTTTGCAAGGAAAAAAAAGAGCTTTGGATAGGTGTTACTTGTCGGGAAGACAGAAACTAATAAATGACATCAACTAACTAAACAATAAGGTAGTGCCAAGAACCAGATTTGAAGACTGTAAAACTGTGGTTCCTAGCATCTGTGGGTGTGCCCATAGGCCTTGTCAGAATCATCTGAAAGCAGCTGCATCTTCTCCTGGCCTCCCACAACTGCCTTCCTTTTGCATTCAAATTGCTATGCAGCCCTGTACTGTATGTCTGTGTTAGATATTTTTGTTCATTTCTAAATACAGTAGTTGTCTTCTCTAGCAGCTTGATCATAGTGTGAAATTCTTACTCTGCTTCATAGGTGGCAAGGAGAGGGTTGGAGGAGTACTGAAAAAAAGAATTTGTTGGCAAATTCTATTTTCATGCATCCAAGTGGAATAGCCTCAGTAAAACAAAGCATTGGAGGAGGGATGATGCAATTATACTGTTCCTGCTCAGATATGTAAAGTTTAGTCCTCCTGAGCAAATTAATGTTCTGCTATTTTTCTTGTTTCCTTCACCTATTTTCTGTGTGTGTTCATATAGCAGAAGAAGGCCTGGACAGGAGTTCAGCTATGACAAGAGGTTTCTCAGATGGAGCCATATTTTCCAAGAGGCAAAGCAGATGTGTTTTACTGAGGTTATTAGATCAGTAGAAAAAGAAACAGACCCTGAGCAATAATGAATGAAGCAATAATAAATGAATATTTTTAATTTCCAGGATACCCCTTTCTGAGGGGTTTGTTATTTTGATGCTAGGTTTAGACGGGAATCAGAATTGTCTAAGAAAGACTGGATAGTGACCTAGATAGGTCACTCCATCACTGGATACAGTGATGAAATCAAAGTTACTCTACTATTTATATACTGTAAATTGATAACTTGTTTTGCAAGTTATCTTCCTTCCCAATCTGTTTTAATCATGGAAATGTATTTAGGATGCAAATCTAGTTTTTCAGAAATAAATACAGGATACAGTTGAACTAGCAATGGAATTGCTATGTGGGTTTTATATACCACTTGTAAATATTTCTATCCCTACTGCTGAACTTTTAAAGCAGACACAGTCCCAGTTTTTCAAGGTCATGGAGGACATAAATCCTTTTGAAAAACTTCCAAGTCTCTCATAAGACTTTGAGTCAACATACAACATCATCAAGAGGCAAATGGTATTCCCATGCTTGGCCATGTGCAACTTTTCTCTAGTGCTGGGAACATTTATAACCTTAATTCATTAGTTTATCTGCTGTGTAACTCTTGTAGTCAGTTATCTTCCTTGTTAACATGATCTCACAGTTGGAGATCAAGGAAATGGCCCTATGAATTAGCAGAATTTCTGAGATTTCATGCCAATACATCATGGTCCACTTTAATTCCTAAAGTTAATTTTGTTCCAGATGTTTGTTTGAATTCATGGTTAGCTATGATTACTACCAATTCAGGATATGAAAAACAGTGAAATATTCTCCCAGCTAACGTACATTTGAATTGATCAACCTTTAGATGACCTCACAAATGCCTCAGTATTTTTTTGGAAATTAGATGCAGATTTACCCTTTAGTACTGTATATGGAAAAATCACATAGACAACAATCTAATTCAGTGTTTTCAAACCAAGCAATTTTCAGATGTATAAATTTCCAGTCCCAGAATGTTGTGGCCAGTATGCTGGCCTGGGAATTCTGGGAGACAAAGTCCACACATCTGAAAGTTGTCCAGTTTGAAAAACACTCATCTAATTCCATGCAGTTTTTGGATTTTGGACCTGCTGTCATTTTCTTTATGTAAGTGCCCTGAACAATAACAAGGTGATGCCCATTTGACAACACTTCATTTTTATTTACAATATTCCCGGTTTTTAGTATCAACTGAACATTTTCTTTTAATCCTAGATTTTGAATATTTGTTGGTATGTCAGTAACGGTTATAGATGAATTACTGTTCCAGCTATTTTGCATAATATTTAACAATCAGATGCTTTCATTATTTTAATTTCTTCTATTCCAGCTTTGAAATTATTACAATGAAAATTGAGTTGTACATTTCCTAAATAAGTAAAAATGGTTCATTTAAAGAAACTGTCTGGCTAATGCCAGCAAAAAAGTATAAAACACAAAACGACGCATGTTCAGAGCCAAGGCATTTGACTTTGAACTCTTCAGTAACTTTCCATAGAATATGGATTAATTTCTTCTGGCTGATCCAAAGACCATAGATCAGAAAAACATTCCTACTGTAGGCCAGCTTTCCATTTAGGTTATGTGTGAACTTTAAGTGCCAGGATCAAAGTTTGCCACTGCTGGTTGCTGTAATCTGGCCCGCTAGCCGCCACTCCAGCATTTCAGTGTAGCTAATGAACTACAACCGGTTGTGCTGTGGTTTGTTGTATCTGTCATCCAAAC